TGAGGTCAGAAGGGATCCTTTAACTTCATCCTCAGTCATCGTTAAGAAACTCATTTGTGTGGTTCTCTTTTTTTTCTGAAAATATTTGATCCAAGATGGCACAAGCGTTGGATGCATAGAGGTAACAGGTTGGAGGATAATGAACTCTAATTTTTGCTTGGAGCAAAGATTAATATTGTGTATAAACTGCAGGCACTGTGCTAATTGCTGTGTGTGACACCATGAACTGCAACTTTCCCCACAGCAGTTATGTCTTCATCACAGGCCTGCCTTTGCTTCAGTTTTGGTGGTGTTGGTTGTTTTTCAAAGTTTGAGACATGCATGTGTACACAAGCGAGTGGAGTTAATAGATAAACTATTTTCACAGGTAATTTTTAGGCACCATAACTGGCCTGGACTTTCATCAAGATGAGTATTTTAAATAGGAGAAAAATCTCCATCCATGATCTAAATAAATACAAATGGCACTCCAAACTACAACATATGTACATAGAGGATTAATTCTTTTCAGTGCACTGGGAGGCAGTAGTAGCAATGTTCAATCCAAATAACTATTGGCACCAATTTTATGTTGTGTTTAGCAAATACAGATTTTTATATTGTGACCAGTGATGGGGGATATGTCACAAAGCAGGATTTTGCATTTGCATCTACTCTTTTTTCTTGAGAGATCCTCATTATTTAATACTTGTTACAGCAAATCATTGCAGATCTGCTGGCACTGTCAGGTATGATAAACTCAATGTGTGCATAATGCTGGGCTGTAGCAGGAAGCACCACATTCCAAAATCTCTGCAGGCATCTGCATCCTCCACCAAATGCCAGATATATGAAGACATGTGCTTTTAAAAAATATTTTTATTTCAATTAGACAGTTAATGCAAAGTTGTCTACAATTAGTGTGGAGAGAGCACAAATAATCCTGTGCTGTAAACTAGGATTCCTTATCCCAGAAATGTTCAGTGATCTGCTAGTGAAAGTTCTAAAAAATGTGTAATTAGTGGTTTTGCCTCCGGTGGAGTACCAGAGCTCCTGTCACAAATATACTTGATGTTCCAGATCCTACAAAAAATTATTTTGTCCCAGTTACTGCATGGTCAGTGCATCCCCCTGATGTGCACTGGGCACTTGGTGCATTTCAGTGTGTCTGGGTGCTGATCCCAGGCACCCACGTGAGTTTTGTTTTATTTACTAGCAGAAAGGATTGCTGTAGTACAGAGGTGTTCACTCATCAGTGCCTGGTCTGGAGCTGGCTCCACGTTTCCCCACCCAGCTCCAGGATCCCTGGCTGTCCCAGGTGCCACCCAGCTGGAGCTCGCTGTGCCACGGCTCCGTCGGCCACCAGCATCCCACAGCCCAGAGGATGCTGGCTGCCAGTCAGCAAGGACTCTTTACAGCTGAAGTGATTTAAATCACTGGTTGTGCTCATGATTCAAGTGATAAACAAGGAAATTTGAATTAAATAATTTGAACTTTTCCTAAGTGAGAGCTCATTGCTGTTGATTAGGAAGAGTAATACAAAACACATGGCTTGCAGCTAGTCACACACTTGTAAAATTTGGCATGGTTGTATATTAACCAGAAAGTGATACTGTATCTAACACAGCTGTGAAGCACTTAGTTAGCTCGAGAATCTTGTGGTTTGCTTTTTATATTCTTTGGAAAAGGTTAATGACATAAAGGAGAGTGGTTGTTTTTTGCTTGAGATTTTGCTCTTATGAAGTAAGGACAGAAATTAAAGGTCAACTAAAATGTGTAAAACCATGACTTGAAAATTGCAATTATATTTATAAAACATGCTTGCCAGATTTAGTAATGAAAAAAGCATTTTCTGCATTAAATGATATTACTAGGTAAAGAATTATTAGGTGTGATTTTCTACTTTTCCTGTTCGACTTTTCAAGACGCTTTACTCTGAGCAGTGGACGTTAGTAGTGTCAAATTGATTTTTAAACAGTCAGGGTTTTTTAAAGAGCATTTAATCAATCATTAACAACTTTGGTTAAAATTCATGAGATTTTAAATATTCATAAATTCTCTTTGCCTTCATGTGTGGGTCCAAGCCCGGCTGGCAGTGCTGCTGCTCCTGCCTCCCCAGGCAAGCTGGCAGCTCATGGAAGGACCAGCTCAGCATTGCTGTTGTTTTATCATAAAAGCTGATAAATCTCTGATAAAACAAGAAGGAAAGGAGCCCTGGGAAACAAAGTCATTCCTCTACCAGTAAAGTGCTTTCTTGAATGTGGAAAAGTTACAAGTAAGACAGAATAATCGTTCTCAATTTGGAGCTCTGTAGGGCCGTGGGTAAGGGTTTTAAAAATACCTAATTTAGCATTTCACGTGAAAGTTGAATGCCACAGTTTCACAGTTGCCTGTGTGTGCTTCAGTGGTCAGAGGAGTTTGGGCTGCAGTGCACATTTCCCCCGTGCCATGTCTGGAGTTTGTCAGTGCAGGTGGCTTTGCCATCCTGCTGTGGTGTGTGGGAACGTGGTGGCTCCTGCTGCTGGATCATGGGCTCTTTGGGCTCCTTGGGGCACAGAACTGCATCTGCTTTTTTAATTATTATAAGGCAACACCAGGAAATCCAGGAGGTTGTGTTCTGGGGGTGCTTTCTCTTCTTTAGGGCATCAGAAATTCAGTCTGGGGGCTTTGCTGACCTGTAGAGCCACCTGTGGCAGGAAGGCCAGAGGCACGTGGAGCATCCAACTGGCCCTTCCAAATCTGAATCCCAACTAAAGGTCAACAGATCAGCTACTTCAAATTATTTAAAATGTTTAAGTTTGCACATTGCATTTTTACATTTTTAATAATTCATCAACTAGCACGCTGTCACTGTGACACAAAGACAAAACGCTGATGGGCTTTTTTGTTGTTGATGATCTTAAGATTAGAAACAGAGGTTTTGTCTTTACTTCTTAACGAAAGAATGAATGAACAGATGGATATTTGCAGCCCTGAGCTTCACTATCCATTGATTTATCCACTTGGATGTATGTATACAGCTCCTGTTTCAACAGTAGCAGCTTCAGTCAAGATTCCTGAACAAATAGATATTTGTGGGGCCTTTGCCCTCATTCTACTTCTGTTGTCTCCAGATTTACTTTATGTGCTTACTGCCCCTGCTGCAGCGCAGCCAGGCGTAGTTTTAACAGTGTTTTCTGGTGTAGTTAAGATAATGTAAGAGAATTAAAGTTGTTTGTGGAATAGGTTTTTATGGAGGAAAATTCCTAACATATTTAGATTACAATATTAGGTCGTACTACCTTGGTTTTAGTCAACTGAAAATATAGAACTTTTTAAAGGCGAAAAAATTCCAAAATTATTTTTCACTCAAGGAATATACATCTTTAAAGACAGTAAACAGCTTGGGGGAAACTTCCCCTCCATGAATTTCTTATTATAGACAGACTCCATGGCCTCTGTAGGTGTTACAATGCTAATCCTGTGTAATGGATAAGGAAAGTATTTAAAATGTTAAGGAAACCTGCCCCTTCTTTCCACCCAGCTGAGGATGGCATCGATATTGGCCTGTGAAATGAGAGCTGGGTTCAGCAAGTTACTGATAAGGGAGAACTGAAGCAAATGCTACTCTTTGACAGCTGTAATATGACAGTCCCATTGTCATTTCAATTTATTTTGAGTAAGTATTTTACATGGTTCAGCACAGCTGTCTGTCCAGAAACCTGCAAGCCCCTGGAAAAATGTAGAACTTTGTGTAAGTCTTGCAAGGAGAAAACCACTCTTTCATTTTCTCCCTCCTGAGGTCTTGCTGGACTTTGCAAGTTTACTTCATCTTTCCTGAGCTAATTGTACTCTTAAATCACTTCATCTGTTTGATATTTGCAAATTTACTCCCCTCGATTTTAATTTAAATTTCTGGGTGGTAGGTCCATTGTAGTACCATTGGTTTTGGATCCTGTCATAGTTCTGTCAATTACCTGTTCATGATGTGATATTTTGGATGGGACAAGAATATATTGAATGGTACACTTGATATAAAACGTTATATAATGCGGCTTTTAAAAACCAAAAGCATGAAAATGTGTATAACCACTCAGTAGAGCTTGCTTTGCAGTTCACATCTACTGCTACACTTGGATTAAAGGTATGGTTGGTGGTGAATTTAGTTTTATGGCATTTAAGAAAGGCTTAATCCTGATCTTTAACCGAGATGACTTTGTAAGTATCACATTTGGTTCTTTTGGTCTGAGTCTTCTCTGCTTTTCTGTGTGCTTTGCTTGGTCACACACTGAGGGTAAAACAAAGCCCCTCCATTGTGTGCACAGGCTCCTTGAGGAGAAGCAGCATCCAAGGAAGGCTGGTGGTGAGGAGCAGGGTGCCAGGGTGCTGCATCACTGAGAGCTGAACAGGCCATGTCTGCATCAGCACTGGAGTTTGGTGCTGTTTCTTTCCCCCCTCACTTCCCAGGCTGATTGACTGGTTTGCATCTAATGAAATTTTCATGCACATCCACAGAACAGTGGGATTCTGAGGAGAGAGATTAATATTTCAGTAATTATACCATGCCTGTATGTCACTGGAGTCCTTGGTGCACCCACAGAGGAGCCCTGGCTGTAGTAGCAGTTCACAGGGATGTCAGCAGGAGGAAATCCAGCTGGGGCATTTGCTGCTTTTGGCAAAATATGTGGATGGGGAAAGAAAGAAAGAATGCATGTGAATGTCCTTTCCTGGAAATATTTTGAGGAATAGATGAGTACTGAGGTAGTTTAACATGGGGAGAAAAAAGCCAGTTGTTTCTTGGGCTATGGCAGTAACTTTAGGGTGCTGAATGTCACTTAGTGGTGCCAAGGAAAGGTACTCAAGGCTGGAGTGTGGCTGGGCAGTGTCACTGCTCTGTCTTTTCTTCTGGGGGGTTGCCAGGTGCCCTCTGCCTTGTGCTTTCAGTGTGCCTGCTCAAGGCTGGGCTCTGGGACGTTTCACCTTCCGCAGACTCACTTCTCCTCACTTCTCACATCCATTTCTCCTGTCCCTCCCTATTCCAGAGAACAGCCCATCTTCACCACCAGAGCCCATGTCTTCCAAATTGACCCCAGCACGAAGAAGAACTGGGTTCCTGCAAGCAAGCAGGCTGTAACTGTTTCCTACTTCTATGACAGCACGAGAAACAGCTATCGGATTATCAGTGTGGACGGAGCCAAGGTAGGAGCTGGGGACCTGGCGCGTGTCTGTGAGAGTGGGGGACTGTCAGCCCTGCCTCAGCACACACTGGGGCTGCATTAAATATTATAAACACTCCATTTTGTGTATAATCCATCAGGGAGACTTGTAGTGATAACTGGAAAAACACAGGGCACCCTAAAAGGGATTTTGCCCAGCTTAGTTGATTTTATCTCGGATGAGTTTGACTTCATGGTAAGTGAGCTGAGAACCTTAAGTGTCCAAATTGAGTCAGTAGCATGGTATCTGATACTGCCATCTATGTCAGGGTAGATAAGGCTGAGGTCTTTTTGGTGATAAACATGTTCTTTTTAAAAAAACCCCAAGGAGACAGATACATGCAGACTATAGGTTTTAATATAAACGTCAGCTGCACTTTCACTTTTGCCTGGCTGAACTATTTACAGTTTAGTACTTAATTTTCTTAAGCTTTCACACTGGAGTTCATAAGCCTTAGGTGACAAGTTAGGCATGAAGGCTCTTCCCCCAACCTAATTTGTTAATTTGTTTTGCATTACCAGAGAGTTTGCTCAAGTATTTGCTGTAAGAATCAAATTGGTTGGTCTGAATAGGTTGCTCAGACAACTGTTTTTATTACAAACTACATTTATCCCTCTGATTAGTCCCTCCAAAGTCACTTGATGGGTGACAACTTTGCCCTAGCAGACCCCAGTCAGAGATAGAAATGAAAACATTTTGCTCATGTACAAAAATCATTGGTCATTTCTGTCAGAGCACAAACCACAGGGTAACAAGATGAGTGTACAGCCTGTTTATCTGTGTTCCTGTTTGGATAAGGATGTTAAAATATCACTGTTCTGGGAGATAGAGATCACAGAAATCATCCCTTAATAAAGCTTTTCTATTTGTCATGCCTGTTTCCCATACTTGTTTTTCCAAACATCTCCTGTGCTATATTTGGTTACATATTGGCTTATAAATCTGCCATACTGCCTGCTTTAATTGATGGTAATGTTTCATTGACACCAGTACAGCATTAATAGCTCCCCATCAGGAAGCTGTTTGTGGCAGTGAGTTCATTCCCAGGAATGCTGCAGTGTGCAGCAGGCACACCCAGCCCCTGAGCCTGCTGGGGAAGCTGAGCCCCCCAGATGTGCTCGTGCTGAGCCTGCTGCTGCTGGGCTGGTGGCTTTGCAAGCCCTGGCAAGTGCAATTTCCAAGCCAAAGCTGCTGCACTCACAGCAGCGGCTCGCTTGATTTGTGGGTGTGCATGCATGCATTAAGACCAATTAATGAAAACAAAGTAATTACTGCATGTGGCAGGGAGCTGCAGGGGCAGCGTGTGGCCACAGCCAGAGGTCCTGCCCAGAACTGCAAAGTGTGTGCACAGAACAAGCTGGGCAGCCAAGCTTTGCTTTGTCACCTGCTCAGAAGACGCTCAGAAGGAACATTCCCCCCCATTTTGACATGTCCCAGAGGAAGGTGAGCTTGCCATGATTAGAATTCTCCCCTGGGGCTTCCCAAGCAAGAATCAATTGCTGGCCACATAATTTATTCCTCTTGTATTGAATCTTTGCTGATTAAGGAACAGGTCAAGAATAGATGTTGCCTTCATGCTCACATCTGGAGAGTCCCATGACCCTGCCTGTCCATTTTAAGAGTGCTAATTGGGGAAAAAACCCGGTGTTTATGCCAAAAGAACTTAAAAGTTGCATTTTTCCCTTCAAACAACTATTGTTTAGTGTCTTGACCTACTTTTCCAGGCAAAAATGAAACTGGGTAGAACTGTAAGGAAGAATATAGACAGCTTCAGATGATGGTGCCCTGCTTTCTGTACATCTCATTAGAATAGTCTTCCATGTGTTGGCAAATACCAGATGGATTAATGTGACAGCATCACTGTGGGCATAAGTTATGTCTGCTTCAAGGACAAAAAAGCTGAAGTTCACGTAAATGGAGGGACTTTGCCCTAGAAGGAAGGCAGGGATGAAGGATGTGTATCTCTTACAACTCTCCATCCTTGTCTGCTCTGCAAAGGGGCTGTTCTAACAGTTTATTTTAGACAAACATATATGATTCACATTTGCTTGCAGAGGAATTTCAGTTAAATCCAACTTGTATGAAGATATTGGATTAATTTGCAGTTCTTTTTTTTACCTTCTGTTGACATTACATACTAATGGTAAAAATATATTGAAGAGATCAAGAATACAGGGTACTTCACTTACATATTGGTCATTACCTGGTTGCATAAGCTTGATTTTCCTTGCAGCACTGAGCATGTCCCCCTGGGCAGTGCTGAGTTGCCAGTGTGTGGAGGAGCCTGGAGCTGCTGGAGCCCGTGAGCTCTGCTGTGGCAGGGCAGGGCAGGCTGGGCAGTGTCACCCTGAAGAGTTCTTCCCTCCTGGTGCAGCTCTGACCTGATGGGCTGTGATCCTGCAGGAGTGGCTTTCTCAGGCAGCTGCTGCTGTCCTCAGAGGTCCAGACTCTGAGCAGTGCCCTGTCCTTCAGTCCCATCCTCTCTTCTCCCAGCAGGTGCAGCCTGTCCCTATCTCCTCCTTGTCCCTTGTCCCCACAGCCCCGGGGTGCAGGGCAGAGGGGAGCAGAAGGATTTAGCAATGGGCTTAAGGGAACTGCTGAGCCCATGTGTTTAAGGTACCCACATTTATTGGTAACTCAGTTTGTGAGCCTGGCTGGCAGAGGAGCTGCCTGGCTCTGCTGCCTGGTTCAATGGAACCCTGCCTTTGCCTTACCCCTTGGGGAAGGGGAGGAGAGTCTGGGTGCTGCACATGGAGGTGGTGAGAAAAATGGAACAGAAAGAGAGTGGGGCAAAGATAGGAAGCAGAGTGAAGTCGAGGGAGTTTAACTCTTCCCTTGCAGAGGAGTATTCAGGAGTCCAATATGCAGGCCAGCCAGGAGACAGCATTTGCCTGCAGGTGCCAGGTTTCTTTCAAATTCTCCCATCCCAATAACAAATCCATTAAAATACCTGGGGAATGAAGCCCTGCAGAGAGGAAACCCTGGATTCAGCACAGCTTGTACCACTTCAATTCCTCGTGTTTGCAAAGCTAAAGACAGCAGCTCTTCTCATTCCTGTGTCTTTCACAGAAAAACAGGTGCTGTGGACAGGAGCTTACAATTTATAGCAGAAGATTTCACAGATGCCATATGAGAATGTGCTGTGATCTTAACCAAGATGCCATGACCAAACAAGGGAATAGATCAGTATATCTTTTAATTGCCTTATAACTGACTTGTATGTTGTTAAGCAAGTAATTTCATCATGTTTTAAGAAGTTTCTAGCTAGAGGCTAACTGCAGCATAATGAATGCTGGAAGAAATGATACAGTAAAATGCAAGGGCACACACTGATTCAAAGTTAATGAGGCAGCCAGGAGACTTCACCATATGAAAGTGCCCAGTGTTGTGGACAAAAGTCAGCCCTGTTGAAAGGAGACAAAATACAGTGATGATGCAGGGAGAACATGAAGCTGTAAGTGCCCAGTTGCTGTGCAGTGTGTGGGGAAAGCCACACATAGGGCTTCTCATTAAAAGTGACCTACACTGGCTTGCCTTTTGGAGGCAAAAAGGAAGTTTGGCAGTATAAAAATTATGCAGACCAATAGCCTCTGTCATCCTCAGGAATAATGCATGATAGTACATGATAGTACATGGTTGGTGGGTTTATTTATTTTTTATAAACTGAAATTACGTGTTATCCAAACAGTATAGAGAAGAGGGAAAGGAATTTGAGATGGAAATATAATCCCTCAGAAACAAGCCTCTGCCCTCTTCTCAGATGCTCATGTTGTATTTCTGTAAAACTTGGGATTGCAGCAACATCGTTTTTCTCTTTTGAGAAATGAGCTGTTAATAAGGAACATAAAGCTAGCTTAAAAATTAATAGCCAGCAATAAAGTGCATAGTGAGACATACTGAGCTGGCAGCAGCAAAGAGAAGTGACGCAGCAAGAGTCATCACAGATGCCAGTCCCCAGTTGTCTCTGAGAGATGATTAAACAGATGACTAGGAAAAAAATTAAAATCAGGCTTTAAAAGATTACTACATTGCAAGAGTGATTGTGGAAAATGCATTATAAAGAAATAAAGACTGTGTTTCAGAGGAAAAAGCCAGTCAGCTGACACTCATTCCCAGTTACTAGTTCATTTAAGAATTTATTACCTGGTAATTACCTCAAATATTGGAGATCAGCAGCTAAGATGGGCATAAGTGTGTGAAAGTATTGAAGAGAGAACCAGAAAAATTGCTGTGCTGGGAAAGCAAAATCAGTGGGTCTGTTTCTGAAGTAAATTGCAATTAGTAAGAACAAGAATATGGGCCAAATTTTGCCAATCAGTATTCACATGGTGTTCCCCAAAGTGAATACAGTGCATTACATGGTGTGATGAAGCTGTTTGATCAAGTGGCATCTAGCAGGGGACAGTGTGATTTACAGAGGACAATGCAGCTGGCAGGGACACAGCCCCAGCAGCCTGTGGCAGAGATATTTAGGGAGGTAAGAAGGGCTGCTATGTAAATCTGCTAATATTTGATGTATTCCTGGCTTTCCCAGTTCCTGTCCCAGGGAACTAATTGCTACCTAATGTAATAGCTGCCCACCTCTTTATAACCACACTTTTCTTGTCACGACTGGAGGCAGGTGTCCTCAGCACACAAAGAGGAAATTGAGTTCTTCCAGTGATGTGTTCAGAGGCTCAAAACAGATCTTTTTCTTTGCCCATGGAAAAGGAATTATTTTAAGGCATAGTTGTTAAAAATATCCTAGAGTATTTTGCCAAAAGGTGACTCTTAGATTTCAGAATCTTTTCTTTCAGAGGAAAACAATTACAGGGTATGGTACCACAGATGAAATTCCTTTATCTGACTAGATATTTTCATTCTTCTTTTTTCTTCCACTGACGTAAATTCAGCCATTAAACCAACAGCAACTCTTTCACAGGAAAAAACCTACCAAGTAATTTATATATTACAAAATTTTTGGCACTGAATTATGAAAGGCT